TAACAAAGCTAAAGAATATCTTGAAAGAGCACTTGCGATCAGAATAGAAATTGGTGACAGAGCAGGAGAAGCAGCAGATTACGGAAACTTGGGAACTGTGTTTCAATCTCTTGGTGAATATGACAAAGCTAAAGAATATCTTGAGAAAGCACTTTCGATCGGAATAGAAATTGGTGACAGAGCAAAAGAAGCAGCAACTTATGGAAACTTAGGAACTGTGTTGATGTCTGTTGGTGAATATGACAAAGCCAAAAAATATACTAAGAAAGCACTTGAGATCAGAATAGAAACTGGTGACAGAGCAGGAGAAGCAGCAGATTACGGAAACCTGGGAATTATGTTTAAATCTCCTGGTGAACGTGACAAAGCTAAAGAATATCTTGAGAAAGCACTTGAGATCAGAATGGAAATTGGTGACAGAGCAGGAGAAGCAGCAGATTACGGAAACTTAGGAACTGTGTTTCAATCTCTCGGTGACTATAACAAAGCTAAAGAATATCTTGAGAAAGCACTTGCGATCAGAATAGAAATTGGTGACAGAGCAGGAGAAGCAGCAGATTACGGAAACTTGGGAACTGTGTTTCAATCACTTGGTGAATATGACAAAGCTAAAGAATATGTTGAGAAAGCACTTTCGATCGGAATAGAAATTGGTGACAGAGCAAAAGAAGCAGCAAATTATGGAAACTTAGGAACTGTGATGATCTCTGTTGGTGAATATGACAAAGCCAAAAAATATACTAAAAAAGCACTTGAGATCAGAATAGAAATTGGTGACAGAGCAGGAGAAGCAGCAGATTACGGAAACCTGGGAATTATGTTTAAATCTCTTGGTGAATATGAAAAAGCTAACGAATATCTTGGGATAGCACTTGCGATAAGAACTGAAATCGGTGACAGAGTAGGAGAAGCAGCAGATTATGGAAACTTAGGAATTATGTACCAATCTCTTGGTGAATATGACAAAGCTAAAGAACATCTTGAGAAAGCACTAGCGATCAGAATAGAAATTGGTTACAGAGGAGGAGAGGCAGCAGATTACGGAAACTTAGGAACTGTGTTTTATTCTCTTGGTGAATACGATATGGCTGAAGTTTATCTTGAGAAGGGGCTTTCAGTTACTCGAGACATTGGAGACCTCGACAAAGAGATTACATTTCTTGGGAACCTTACTATGCTAACGGTGTCTCAAGGAAAGATCCAGGGGGCGTTTGACCTTCTGCTCTTGAGTTTGGACAAAAGCGAAAGTTTGCGTGATTTTCTAAGAGAAAATGATCAATTTAAAATATCGTTTTCAGACGCTCATGATTTTATTTACAGGAATCTTTGTTTATTGTTCTGTTTTACTGGAAATCCCAAGAATGCTCTTTATGTTCTAGAACTGGCACGAGCTAGAGCCTTAACAGACTTGATGACGACTCAGTACTCAGTTGAATGGCAAATCTCAGCTAACCCAAAGTCATGGATTGGCATTGAGAATATTATGACCAAAGAAAGTAACTGTCCTTGCCTTTACATTTCTTATTCTGCTCAACTTTTGTTTTTGTGGGTTCTCAAAACAAGCGGTGTCATTCATTTTCGAGCAGTACGAGTAGACGAACACATTGGTAAAAAAGAACTACTTGACAGTTTAGATGAATTCTTTGCTAAAAGTTTTCGAAGTTTTGGTGTTTTACCTGAGGAGGATTGCGAAGATCGATCTTTAAATGCCATTGTGCGAGAGCTGAAGTCATGCAAAGAAGAGCGCCGCGCGGCTTTGCGACTTGAAGAAGGTGATGATGAAGAGAGCCAAAATCCCGAATCAAGCCTTTCTTTGTGTTACAGAATATTCATCGATTCTGTAGCTGACTTACTGCAGGAGCGCGAAATCATCATTTTTCCTGATCACTCCTTAAACCAAGTTCCATTTGCGGCATTAACTGACAAAGACGGAAAGTATTTATCCGAGACTTTCAGAATTCGCATCGTTCCCTCTTTGACGACTCTCAAGCCCATTCAGGGCAGTCCTGCGGACTATCACAGTCAGACTGGTGCGCTCGTACTGGGGAATCCAGATGTTTGTAGAGTACGTTATAAGGGAAGCAAAAAATACTTTTCTAGGTTACCTTGTGCAGGAAATGAAGCAGCCATGATTGGGCGACTGCTGGGCATTCAGCCTTTGATAGGACAGCTAGCCACAAAGCAGGCAGTACTTGAAAGATTACCTTCAGTAGGTCTGGTTTATTTAGCTGCGCATGGCAATGCCGAAAGAGGAGAAATTACCCTATCTCCCACACGCTCTAGTAATAAGATTCCAAAAGAGGATGAATACCTATTGACGATACCTGACATTGCAAAAGTTCAACTCCGAGCTAAATTAGTAGTACTTAGCTGCTGTCATAGTGCACGTGGCCAGATCAGAGCCGAGGGAGTTATTGGAATCGCTCGAGCGTTCTTGGGATCTGGTGCACGGTCAGTACTGGTGGCACTTTGGGCAATTAAGGACAGTGCAACTGAGCAGCTGATGTGTCGTTTCTATGAGCATCTTGTTCGTGGGAAGAGTGTCAGTGAATCTCTTCACCAGGCCATGACATGGATGAAAGGTAACGACTTTGCGAAGGTTCGAAACTGGGCACCATTTATGCTGATTGGGGATGACGTGACATTTGAGTTTGAAAAACATGGAAAATAGGGGTAAGTCTCTTTAAATAAGAAAACATTCAGTGATAATTTTATGTCATGTCTCAGGAGGAGCAATACCATAAGAATGGATACATCTTCCTTCTGAATTATTTTTCGCATGGATGGTCTGCAACGACGGTTTCAACAGTGCATTTCATAATTTTATAAAATCCGGGCAGAAGACGTGTCGACTTGAAATGTGAGTGTTGTGGCCTGTCCCTGTAGAAGGGCTTCCCTTTTCTACCCAGAGGACGGTCAACAGAGATAGTGAGCAGAGTTATCGAAGAGGCCGATAACTTGGATTGTGTCATTTCCCTGGGGCTGCCTACTTTTTTAACTTTATCTTTTTATGTGCGCTGGAATATTGACGCACGACGAATGTTTTTCGTCGTGCGTCAATATTCTGGCGTACGTAGAACCATCAATGCCAACACAAAGACTGGCCAGGCCTGCATTACCTGCTACTAAGATTGACATTGTCTCCGCTGCACATCCGGCGAGAGAGAGACAGATCTCATTAACGCCACAGGTAAAGATAATCTCACATTGGGAGACCAAGGTACGTCTGATGGCATCGCGACAGATTCTGAAGTCGTGTATTCAGATTGCACTTCATTAAAATACCAGCAATATGCTCAGGCAGAAATTTGTTCTAAGAAGAACAAAGTAAGAAATTCTATTGTATTGTATATCATTTGTTAAGGCACATAGAAAAAGAGGCATGTAAGTGATCCCACTACAGCAATAAAATACTTGTTACATACTCAGATGTTGAGTTCTTCTTAAGTAATAGGAAAAGGAAACATTTTCTGTGTTTCTCTCTAGATATCCTCTGGATCTAGTTGAAGAAACACGAATGCGTTCGTGAAATTATCTCCCAATTTAATTCGTCACCAGTTGATTATGCCCACTGACAAACAGCGTGGTGTGAAGAACTTTTGAAAATGTCCCACGCGCATGTCAGGCTTCCAGACCATATTAGGGCTGACCAGAAGGATCGCTGTCTCTGGAAACGGCACGATGTACGCACATGCGTAAGAGCAAATCATCTGTTCTTACATAAGCTGAAAAGCTAGATGAAGCAGAAATTGATGTTAGTTCTTAAAAAGATTGAAGCTGATTCTTTTTTTTTTTTACCTATTTCTCCGAGAAAAGTCGAAAGGATGTATTCCAAGCGTGGCTGAGTGAAAGCTGTACGAGTGCACACCGAACTCAAATCAAGAATAGGTGTCGACGTCACAGTCAACAGCTAGCACAGGTTGTACCGAGCACACTGCGCTGATAGTCAAGCAGTAGCCAACAAATGAATTTCCAAACAACTTTATACGCTACTGATAAACAAGACAATGCAAGCCGAGGCAACCAAAGAAAAAAACCGAACTGGAAGCTAACAGCCAGTTGTATTAGTGCTCTGTATATAATTTAGCAGATTCTGCTGTAAAGGTTGCAGATTAAAATGTAAGCTCTCCTTTAACTCCTGTATTACGCAGCCCCTAGCAGTTTATATTTCTGTTTATTACATGGCTCACAAGGACTGGGAACTACCGAATTCACGAATTTGATTGGCTGAAATCGATATTGACCGCGGTCTAGAATTTCCCATCTAGACCGGCATCTAGACCGGTTTCATTTTGCGTTGAAAAAGTAGCAAACTAAAATACAAAAATGCTCACCATTTTCTATTATTTTCTTCTCAATAATTTATAGAAGTGCCAAAAAGCCTGATGACAAAAAAAAGTAAAGAGGACGAGCAAATTTCGGCAGGTTTATGTTAAGGTCATCGCCGTTCGCAAGCAAAATGTCAGCAAACCAGTTACATTAAACGAATTAAAGTTTTCTTCTTTGTCATATAATAAACATCCTATTAACCGAGCTAAGTCGGTCTGTATGGGAGGATCTTGACCTCGGTCGTGTGTACAGACCTCACTGCGTTCGGTCTGTACTCACGACCTCGGTCAAGATTCTCCCATACGGACCTCCAGCCCGGTTAATAAGAGCTAAGTAATGCCCACGGGCCGATTACGGATTATGCAAATTAGGAAGAGCCCGGCTCTGAAAATTCAAGCCCATTGAAACGATGAAA